TTCCCCCCCCCCCCCCCTCTCTCTCTCTCTCTCTCTCTCCTTTCCTCCCTCTCTTTCCCTCTCCCTAAAAATCAATGGGAAAAATATTCTCGGGTGGCCGAAATTGGTTTGGCTCAGTGGATAGAGCGTCGGTCTGCAGACTGAAGGGTCCCAGATTCGATTCAGGTCAAGGACATATACCTTGGTTGCGGGCTCATCCCCAGTAGGGGGTGTGCAGGAGGCAGCTGATTGATGTTTCTCTCTCATCGATGTTTCTAACTATCTATCCTTCTCTCTTCCTCTCTGTGAAAAATTAATAAAATATATATATATTTTTAAATATCCTCGGGTAAGGATTAACAAAAAACAACAAAATAACAATTTTTCAAACTGACGATATTTATTTTTATACATTATTGTGGTGCTTGAAGAAGCATTTTTATAACAAACAATATATCACTTTTAATTTAAAAAGAGAGATTTCTATGGTTTTACAAAGTTTGGGAATTCCATTGTCAGAAACTGAAAATTTGTACTGACAATCTTTTTTTTTTTTAATATATTTTATTGATTTTGTACAGAGAGGAAGGGAGAGAGATAGAGAGTTAGAAACATCGATGAGAGAGAGTCATCGATCAGCTGCCTCTTGCACACCCCCCACTGGGGATATGCCCACAACCAAGGTACATGCCCTGGGACCCTTCAGTCCCCAAGCCGACGCTCTATCCATTGAGCCAAACCGGTCCCGGCTGTACTGACAATCTTTATCCACCCCATGTTCTTTGAACAAATCATACTGGGGTCAGAGTTGGAACTGGTGGCAATGGAAAGAATCAGTGAAGTGCTGAGTCTGGCTGCACTTATAGTGGGGCAGAAAACTAGAGAACACCTAAACTAGTCATTTGTGAAACTTTGAGTTATGAGAGACCAATTGTTTATATGATAATAAGTATAAAGCATATTAAGACCTACAGTAGATAAGCAATGGTAAGATGCTTGTAAGGGGGCAAATACGAACAACTGAACCACAGCATTGGGAATTACAATAGAAAAATATTTGTGCAGTGTAGCAGATACCTATCTTGGGACATAAATTGGCTTTGTTAGTATTAGCATGAATCTGAATCATCTCCAAAGGCTTTCCAAAGGAATAGAAGTTAGAAACCTGTTGATAAGGAGTTGAGTTCATACCCACTTCAGAATCAAAGTAGAAATAAGTCTTTGAGCCTGATTTGACAAGAATTATTTTAAATAAGAAAACATTGCCATAGTAGTAAATGGAACATGGAGAAACTATTTTTAAAAACACAAATAAAATGAAAAATACCTTTATCAATCATAACTCAAGAGATAATCACTATTTAAATTTATTATTTTATTTTTTCTAACTATATATAAGATCTATCAAAATGATATGTGTATTTTTATGATAGCTTTTTTTTCACTTTGCAACCACTTATGAACATTTTTGGTCAATGTCTGTATTATCTATAAGCATGATTAATAGTGGCTCCACTGTATCTCATTGGAAAGACATGCCATAATTTTCTTAGCCAACTCTCTATCATTGGACATTTCTATTGATTGCAATTTTTCATTATAAACAATACTTTAACAATCTTGACACATACACTCAATTATTTTCCTCTGTATATTATTAGAAGTAAAACCATTCAGTCTAAGATTGTGTCTTTAAGGCTTTTCTTTCTTTTTTTTGGGGGGGTGGTGTTTTTATTGTTGTTTTGTTTTGTTTTATTAATCCTTACCAGAGGACATTTTCCCTCATTGATATTTAGAGAGAGTGGAAGGGAGAAGGAGAGGGAGAGGAGGAGAGAGAGAGAGAGAGAGAGGTGAGAAAGACACATTGACTGGTTGCCTCTAGTAAGTGCCCTCCTTTCTCTTCTCTCTCTTCCCTCCCTCCTTCCCTTCCTCTCTCTCCAAAATAAATAAATAAATAAATAAATAAATAAATAAATAAATAAATAAATAAATATATTTTTTAAAAGATAGCTATCACAAAGGAGGCCATATTTGAGCTGTACCGGAAGAACAAGCAGGAATTTGGTAGGCAAAGGAGAGAAGGTCGGACACCCAGGGTTGAGAAAACAGCACATCCTTGATTCTATGGAGTGGGAAACAGGTGGGAACAGGGTGACCCAGGGTAGAGGGTCACCTGGGAAAGCACCTGGGCAATTTTCTTTAACTATCATCAGCTGAACTCAGGGCGTAGGCAGAGCCATGCCCTGGGAACATGCTTCCCCAATAAGGCCGGACATGTCAATTAGTTCTGACTTTATAGCAGCCCAGGTGCCGGCAGGGGTGGGACTAGATATGTAAATCTAGGCCTTTAAAAATAAACGCGCTGCTACATGGCTCGGGTCGACGTCAGAGAGAATGGATGGCATCTCACCCAGCTCCCAGCTTTAAATCTATTTTTGTATCTTCTTTCTATTATTTCTCAATCCCTGGCCGCCTCCACTTAGAACAGGTTCATTCATCTCTCTTTCTGTGCAGGATGTAGACAGGGAGATCCCGCCATGTCTGGCCCCCGCTGCATCAGACCCCCACAATCCAGTAGAGTGACGATAGTGATCACGGGATATTCTTGCATTAAGTGTGCAAACCTAAGGACCCCCCTCCCTGGCACCAGGCAGGGAAAACACCAGCATTAGACATTACCCTTTGTTGATGTTATGTAACAGATCACATATGAATCCAAAGGAGAACCAAAGTCTTCTGACTTCTAGGACATGGGATCATCAATTGATAGCATTACAGAGCTGGACCTTCCCTTAAACTCTTCCTGGCACTGAGCTCTCATTTTCCAAGTGCGAACACTGGAAGGCAACTTGTCAAAGGTCATACAGACGATAAAGACCCACTTTTACTGGAATGTACTTATAAATAACCCACTTCCATAATAAAACGTTTTTGTATTTCCTGGAATATAACATATTTTAGCCAGTGGAGTTAAGAAAGAAAGAAAAAAAAAATCTGCTTTCAAAACTCTAATCGATCCTTGTCCTGTCCTTGTTTTCTTCTCAAACTATGTGCCATGAAGAACTGACTCCCTATTGCTTTCAACCCCCCACAAATCAGTGTTTCCAAGGGACTCAACCTAACATAATTAATCAAACTCCCCGCCACACCTCCCTTGTACCAACCACATAGCCACGAGTAACTTACACTCATAAGTTTCATTGAGGTGATACTTCCAAGCTGTCCAAAGAGTAAATATCAACATACTAAGAAGGCTTTCTCCCTTGAATGCATTTCTCTGCATCAACGACTTTCTGAAGGGATGTGTCTGTTTTCTTGGCACTCTCTGGTTGTGTAAATTAACATGAAAAGCTTATGCCATGGTCACTAACAGACGTTAAGCCACTTTAATCCCATTTGCCTGGAGGTCAGGGTAGATCATATATAACCACCACTACACAGCAGAGCAAGCTCTTGGCCAAGGCTTGGAAGCACTGTTAAGAGAGCCCCAGTCTCCAGCTGCTGAGTGTGAATGTGACCAGATGGGGTGGCATTCCACCACTCTGATCTACAATGCACTCAGTATATTGTCCCCAGCCAAAGTTGGGCTCCCAGGAGCAAGGCATAAGGAGAGATGGAATATTCTTTCCTGCTTAACTTCTCTTAAATCTCCTCACCGTTCAACCCAAAGGCCACCTCCTCCACGAAGTCTTCCTTGACTGACCCTGCTTTGAATCATATCTCTCAGGGCCTGCTAATCATTCTACCCTCTCCTTTTGGCCACAGTGATTGCATCAACTGAGATGAACCCATCAGAGTCCTCTGCTGGACTTTATATGCAGATACTACCTTCTTCCAGAACATCCTTTTTTCTAGAATGGCTACATAGGTTGATAAAAGCTTGTGGTCATGCTTTCTATCATATTCTTCCCTTCCTAACTCTTTCTATCCCCCTTCCCCCTCACACACACACATCTTCCAAAATTCACCTCATACGGGAGACTTGTGTACAAAGCAGAATGAAACCAACACCAAGAAGAGCCAAGAAAGAACAGCCACCACCTATGGCACTCTTCCTTAAGACATCTTGCTGAGGAGTGGGCGGGAGCCAAAAGCCAGCCTCTATTCTATTCACCCAGGTAAGGGCTACCCTCAGCCCTTGAAAGGGAGCCCCCCTTTTTTTCAAAGGAAGTATCTGCCTGCTCACTCGGCCTTCTCGTGCACACAGAAGAGTTGTATATGCTAGAGAGATATGACAAGGTCAGCAAAGCCTTAAAAATCCAATCCTTCCTAATTACAGCAACCAATACATTCCTTTTCCACCCACACTTGCTTCAACTGGGTTTTTGTCCCTTGTAACAAAAGAAGTCCTGACTGAGGCAGCAGCATGGACACCTGGATAGCTTTGGATGCAGCAACACATTGGTTTGCTTATTTATTTCCTCACCTGAGGATATTTTTTCATTGATTTTTAGAGAGACAGAAAGACAGAAATATCAATGTGAGATAAACACATCGATTGGATGCCTCCTGTATACGCCCGGACCATGGCCTGGATCAGGGAGGAGCCTGCAACCAAGATATGTGCACTTGACCGGAATCGAACCAGGGACCCTTATGTCCACAGGCTAATTCTCTATCCACTGAGCCCAACCGGCTAGGGCAACCCATTTGTGTTAGCCATAAACTTCCTAATAACTGTTATCTTTGGAATCTTCCTTCCAGTCTCCAAGTCCTCACACTTCCCTAGTCAGGCACAGAATAACTAATACCCTCCCTTTTCTTTCTTAGAGACTCGGATAGCTTGTATACTGAGATAATGAACCAAAGAAATCAAGTTCATTTTAATGCCGCTGCTCTTGCTTTCTTCATGAAAATGATTGGATAGGATCTCTTTTCTAACCTTTTTGGTAACTCCTCCGCTGTGGGCCCAGCAGCAGGGTATGCTGTCCAGACAGTGGCTGTTCATGCCTACCCCAAAAAAGGGTCACACAGCCCGGTGTGTGTCACTGTGTTTCGTGTGTAAGGGATGGATCGCTCACCCTCTTTGGTATCTGTCCAACTCGTGCAGGACCGTGTGGTCGCAGTACTCAAACACCAGGTGCAGCCTCCGCTTCCTCCGAAAGACTTCGATCAGGTTCACGAGGTTGGGATGCTTGAGTTGCTAAAAACATGAAGGATGAGGTGCTCAGTGTGAGGCGTGAAAGACAGCGTTCTCTAGTTCAGACCCAATAAAAAGAAAGCTGCTTGTCCTTTAGGAAGTTTTAGTCTTGGTTGAAGTAACCTGTAAACAGTATTATCTTACTTCTCTTCATGAGCTGTTTGTTAGTAGCTTGTATGTGAAAAGCGATTATAACCCAGGCGGTTGGTGAAGGCAGAGAGAGATATGAGAAGGCTGGGGAAGAAGGAAGAGTGAAAAGGAAGAGATGGTTTAGTTAATACAAATTCATCCTTGAAGGCTCAGAGGAAATGCCCCTTACTAAGGAGGTCTTCCCTGGCCCCCAGGGCTCAATGCCTTTGCATGGCTGGTAGCCTCCCTGAGGTATGTGCCCTCCAGAACCTGTGGCATTTACTAAGTAATTACAGAGTAAGGATTCCTTAGTTGGTTGCTTAATGTCTTCTGCTGTCATCAGATATAATAGATACATTCCACAGAATGGAAGGACCATGATATCAGGGTCTATGTTCTCTTATTTACTCAGAATGATGTTGTTGAACCCCCAGCACTGGGCCTTGGCAGTTATTTGTGGATGAATAAATAAATCATGCTTCCTAAGCTGATGAAAGGTTTTAAGACGGGAAAACGAGGAAGACTTCAATGTGCCTGAAGGTGTGTATCTAGAACTCGGGCCAGGCAGAGGCCAGACACATGGTGAGAAAGGCACTGTTCAGAGATATTCTTTGTTATTGGAATAGTCAGAGGTGGTGATGGACTGGAGGTGGGGGAGGGGAAAGAGGAAGTCATCAAGAATGACCAGAGGTTTGTATCATGGGGCAGATGGTGGGGTCAGCAGTGGGAGGGGGAATGGTTTCTTTGGGGAAGAAATTACTATTGTTGGCATGTTGGGAACTCTGAGTTACCAAAGTGAAACCGTCAGGTTGGGTGGAGTTAGAACTGAAGAGAAAAGCTGGGAGTCATCCTGTGTGAAAGTGAATCCATGGACACATGCGATTGCCCAGAAGAGCGAGTGAGGAGGGAAGAGGCCCAAGGAACCACTGCGCAACAGAAGAGTGGATGAAAAGGAAGAGAGAGGGAAGAAGGCCCCCCAAGATAAGAAAGAAGACAATATAGGGGAGGGGATAGGGGAGAGAGACCAACCAAAAGACTTGTGTGCATGCATATGAGCCTAACCAGTGGTCATGGACAGCAGGAAGTATGGGGGCATGCATGGGGGGGGGGGTTGGAATGGGAATCGGGGGGGGGGGAGGGGTGGAACGGAGGAGGATAAATATGTGCTACCTTAATCAATAAAGTAATTACAAAAGAAAGAAGACAATAGAGCATGATGCCATGATGCCAGGGGCATAATATGGAAGGACAGACTGCGGTGATAGATGCTGCTGAAAGGTTAAGTGGGGAGAGGCCTGAGTGCCTGGTGGGTTCCTCCCCCCGACCCCAGGCAGGGGTCACATGACCTCCCTAGAAGCAGTCAGTGCAGTAGTGAGACCAGGAGCCAGATCCTATGGAATTAGCATCTCAAACCACGTTACTCCTCTCTCTCTGTTGACTCCAGGGGCAGAACTCAGAGAAGCACCTCTGGTCTTGAAACCAGTTTGCAATCACAGCTCAGCATTCACAATGTCATTGAAGAAGGTGAGGATATTTCTACTTCAATCCTGAAAGGGCTTCTTTAGGGACACAGAGAGGAATCAGAAGAGAAGAACGAAGCAACAAGATGGATGGATGTTCACAGGCTTACTCAACATGTTTATTATACATATATTTTAATGTTTTACAGAGAGGAAGGGAGAGGGATAGAAAGCCAGAAACATTGATGAGAAACATCGATCAGCTGACTCCTACACCCCTCCCCCTCCACTGGGGATGTGCCCACAACCAAGGTACATGCCCTAAACCAGAATCGAACCCAGGACCCTTCAGTCTGCAAGCCGACGCTCTATCCACTGAGCCAAACTGGTTTCGGCACAAGTCATCTTAATAGACAAGACTGGATTACCATATAGTCTATAAAGATTTAGTTCAGGGCTCATTTAATTAGAATCCCTTCATAATTATGAGTATGTAGAGCCAAAGCCTCAGGCCCAGTCTCACTCAGCATTCTGAGCTGGGCTGGTCCAATCTGGAGTAATCAGTGTTCTTACCAGGCCAGTCACCGCCATCCTTCAGCTATGCTGTACCTAGAAGCCAGGGACACTCAGATGCAGGTGTAATTTCTTGTGTTCTAGTTTCTGCCTTTGCTGCTGCAATTTTACTTTGGTCTTTCTTTTAGTTCCTCTCTGTATTTTAAATGTTGGATTAGTGTTGGAGACATTGGTATGAACTCATGATTAGCTTAATGTAGGTACAATGATTATTTATAGAAAAAACTGTAGATATATCTGTATACAGGAGTTGGTATTCACACATATATGACCTTGCTCTGTCAGAACAAAGAGCCTACAAGCAACCATACCCCAGTGGCAACATGTGCACCTAAAGCTCAAATCTTGGTTGCTAATACCCTCTCTCCAGGGCTCCTGGGAGAAAACGGATGATTCTAGATAAGGAGGAAGTGTATAAGATAAAGCCAGAAAGGAAGGAAATGATAAAACAAAAATAAATCCTACATTGATGGGGGTATGTCAAAGGGACACAAATATTCATGAGTCTATGCTGTTATGAATGAATAATTGACTGACTGAATAAACAAATAGAAAAGAATAAATACATCTATGCAGAAGAATTCCAAATAATTCCTGTAGATTCTCTGCCTCCATGGAGAAGATCTGAACCCCCACTCCTTACGTGTGGGCTGCACATAGTCACTTCCTTTCAAAGTGTACAGGATGGAGTCACAGCAAGAGCGACTTCCTTGGAGAAATCTGACAATATTTAACACTATCTCAGCCAGGTGACATGGTTTCCTCCCAAAATCTGGGACCCCAGTCTAACCATGAAGAAAACACCAAACAAATTCCAACAGCACTTTCTACAAAACACCTGACTGTACGGAGCAGCTATAGGGGTAAGCCTCGGGTTGATCTGTGGCAGAGCCACAAACAAGTCCCAGCTTAGAGGCAGAGCCCTCCTAGCACAATTAAGCTTGACCTTATAGCGCTCCCTAGATCCTTCCTACGTAGCTAATGGCTGTGGGAGATGCAGCAAGTGCTGCCAAAACAAGTGAAACTCACGCGAACATTGTAACTATGTTGACCATTCCTTGTTTACCTCTGACTATATCACGCGAACATTGTAACTATGTTGACCATTCCTTGTTTACCTCTGACTATAAAATAAAGCCTCAGCTTGCCGGCGGGATCTGTCTGTGTCCTCATCCAGGCACGGGAGATCCACCAAGCCCCAGCTGTATTCTCTTTGTCTATCTTTTCTTTAATCCTTCACTGCCCCTCCTCAGGCTCACCAAACCCTTGGCTGTGCTGGCACAGCACATCTGACCAGTACTCCTCAAAACTGTCATGGCTATCAAAACCAGAAAATCTGAAACTGTCAGAGCCAAGAGAAGCCCAGGGACAGGTGGCAAGTAAATGCCATGTGGTATCCCAGATGGGATCCTGGAACAGAAAAAGGACATTCGATTAAAACGAAGGAAATCGGAACAAAGTATGGACTTTAGTGAATGATAATGTATCAGTGCTATTTCATTAATGATAACAAATGTATATGTAAGATGTTAATAATACATGAAACTAAGTGGAGAGTATATGGCAACTCGCTATAGGATAATCTCAAATTTCTGTAAATCTAAAACGGTTCTAAAAAATAAAGTCTATTGAAACACATGTACACACATACACACACACACCCACTCACTCACACACAGAGACACTTTTACCCAGCACACCATTTAGATAAATAAAAGCACCACTGCATATAAGGATACTTACTGCAGTATTGTTTGTATAGGTAAAAAGTTGTATAGGTAATACAAACCTCCCTTGATAGAAAAAAAAATGGCTAAATAAACTGTGACACATGTAAATTATGAAGAATAAAATATTGTGCAGGCCTCTCTACTGATCTTATGACAATGAGGTATGATAAGTGAAAAAGACAAACTACTGAGTAATTTTACTAAAATAGGTGAAAATAGGAAATACATTAAGCTATGCAAAATTATTCTATTTTCATATATTCATTTAAAGCACATTGTTATTTAAAACATATGCTGAGCCCTGCGCTGTGCCAGACATTATTCTAAGCTCTGGAATGACAGTATTTAACAAAGATGACAAAAACTTCTGCTGTCAGGAGCTCATACAGGAGTGGTTAAAAGTATGTTTACAGTTGTTAGTACGTGAAACAGAGTTTGTTTTTGTATTATTATTTACTAATTATTGCAATATTTTCCATAGGAACAACTGTAAACTTACTTGGTCCCACCCCTGTGTTTGAGCATGCTAGGTGGTGGTGAGTCTTATGGAAAAAAATATGGTAGGTAGGGGACATACTATGATAGGGGTTGCAATTTAAAACATGGTGAGCGGAGAACTTGCTGAAAAAGGTAACAAATGGGGAAAAATCTAGAGAAGATGAAGGTCATGACTATTTCCAGAAAAACGCTCCCGGCAGAGAGAACTGCCATCCCAAAGGCTCTTCTGTGGGATCCTGCTGGAATGTTTGCCCAACAGCAAAGAGGTCAGCACTCGCTGCCTCTCGCCTGCTGCTTCCCACCCTTCAGCGCATCCTTTAATTTAGCCCTTGCTGCAGCTCCCAGCTCTGCCCAGATGTAGCCGGCAGCCCTCACCTCAGCTGTACGCTGTGCCTTGGCTTTCTGCCTGGGGCTGCTGAGTGCTGGGATATGGGATGCTGGCAGGTTGATTCTAACATTCAGGAGGTCAGACTTCATGGGGCGAACACTTGACCAATGGGGGACAGGAAGTGGTGGGTAAACTCTCTGGTCCTCAGGCTCCTTGCATTGCCCCTGCGTTGGCTTTTCCCCATTTCCCTCTCTCAGACCCTGGTATCACTCCTGCTCTCTGGAA